TATTATTATCACTCAGAGTAAGTAATGAATGCACTCTATAGTCTTGGTCAGGAACAATGGTCTTCTTTTCATAAACGAGACAGAGAGTGACTACTCTATATGAACACCAAAAAGCTAATAGAGGAAGGAGAGGGGGTAAAACAGAAAATAAATCAGTGTAAGAATGGACAACAGGAAGAGAAGCTCAGTTCAATGTTCATCGCACCGAATAAAGAAGTGAAGAAGAGTGCAATGAAAGGCAAAATACAACTCCACAACACATTAGCAACTTAAGCCACTAGTGAATGGGATCTCAGAACACTAAATTAGATAACTAGGTCAATAAACTGAAAGGAAATCTAATCAATAAATCGGAGGAACAAAGAAAACAATGGGCTAATCATTTCAAAGGACTCCTGAACCGACTACTACCTGCAACTTGTTCATAAGTACCAAAACCAACCACAGAACTATCAGTGAACACCATTCCTTCAACAGAAACAGAAGTCTTGAATGTCATAAACCTACAGCAAGCTGGGAAGTCAGTAGAAGCAGACGGCACTGAAAATGAATAAAGAGACCTCAGTGGACATCCTCAAATCATTATTGCAGAAAGTGCATAGAGAAGGGCATCCACTGATTGAAAGAAAGGCAACCTTGTCAAATTCCCAAAGAAGAACTTTGCAAGAACTGGTGCGCGAATCACAATAGTCCTTTTCACGCATCATCTTGGGGAAATTAAGAGATGCCGTGGATGCGGAATTCTGCCTGGAATAAATTTCATTTAGCGAAAGCAAATCATGTGCGGATCAGATTGCAACGCTACTCACTAACATCATCGGACAGAGCATAGAATGGCAGCTAAATCTCTAACTCAATTTTATCGATGTTGGCAGTGTTGACCTCAAATTAATTTGTAAACTGCTCCAATGAAAAACGCAGTACCCAAAACATTTGTCAACCACATTCAACAGCTATATTATGATGCTCCCGGCCGACAACTGCTACCTCCCGTGGTGGTCGGGATTGAATACCGCAGTGGCCCAGCAAGCTTAACTGGCTGGGACTCATGTCTCTGCAGGTCCTACTATGTCAGGAAGATTGTTTGCATAGCGGTTAGACTAAAAGCAGTTGCCATGGGGTACATGGGCTCCAGAATTCAATGGAATCAAATGGCGCATGAACCCATATGAGTCACCGGAAACCATGGGAATGCAGCTCCTGACGCTGCTCTGCTGCCTTGCGGACTAGACTTCAAGTCAAAGGCTCGGGGAGTGGTCCCTTAAGAAAACCACCTGCTTCGGTCTGGGCGCCCAGGCAGTATCTCAGCCCTCACACAGGTGTGGCGCACCTCTCTTGGTGCCATGTTGTACGAAGTTTTTTCTGCATTTAAATAAAAATAATATCGTGATGTTACATGACAAATAATTGATAACGAAAGGCTCAGTGAAGCGTTTGATGTGAAGGCGGGATTACGACAAAGCTGCCCATTATCACCGGTGACATTCCTGCCCCTGGTGAACTGTATCACGCGTCAGACCGAGGAGACAGAAATACATCGGGCTGACAAGAAGACTGTAGAAGATTTGAACTTTGCAGATGATCTATGCCTAGTGTTGCACTAACTCGATGACCTACATGCAGAAACCAGTGAGTTGGCAGCCAGGAGAGGACTTCGAGAGAATGTAAATAAGACAGGTGATGCAGACACCTAACGAACTACCACAACAACAATAATCACTAACAACGAAGGAAATTTACTCCCTTCATTTATCTAGGCAGCACCATATGAACCACAAGCAGCACGAACGAGGATGTCACCACCAGGATAGGAGAGGCAGGACAGACCTTCATTAGAACTGCTGCAATAAATATAACAAACAAGATTCAAATTTCGAACAGTAATTCAAATCTGTAAGTAGTTCAGACGCATCACAAGGGTCATTTCCGATGTGCCAATACATAATTCACTTCATACTGAAGATCAGAAAGAATTAGTAACAAAAAAAACTCCCGCAAAGAACTAATCGGCGACCTATTGCTCAACAAGTATACCGAAGCAAATGGAGGTGGGTTGGACATACGCTGAGGAGACTATTGAGTAGAACCTGCAAAGGAAATGGCGATTTTTCGGTTGGTCCAAGGATGACATTGAAGTGAGCTGTTAAAGGAATATGTTCCATTCGGAACCTAAGGGAATAATAATGATCCCATAAGCACTTCGTGGTATAACCAATAATTTTCCGCTACCTTTGATATGGCTGCCGCTTACACCTAAAATCTATACAAGTCATAATCTCTTTGACGATACGAGTGCAGAGCGAATCCCCAGCAGTGGTATTGCAAAAGGAGTAGTTAAATTAGGAAACTACTAACCACTGAATGTTAACTTAGCCGAAAGAGAAGGCAATCACCAATTACTCTGGTCAAAAAGGTGGACTGATGATGACATGTATGTCAAGCCCCTAGATAAAACAACTCTGCCTAGTACTCCATTATGGATAAGCTTTTATTTTGATAAATCACACAGTGGAGTGTTATACAGTAATATCAACTGATGACCATCTTTCGAGCACAAATTATCATTGCTACTCATAATCATATCAAGTCACTCACTCACACAACTTTCTTGCTTCATTTCTATACATGAGTGGAATTGATGATTAGACATTTGAATAAAAATCAACCAATATAGGATAATGTACATTCAGAAATAATAATACGAGTGTTATTGATCAATTACAATGAGACGGGATATAAGACGAGTGTTTTTGTAGTCAAAATAAGCAACTTGTTAGAATGTTGTGATGTATGTGAATTGAATTAGAATTTTAAGATTATTTATTATCCTCCTCTGATTTGACTGATTAGTGGTAATAATATCTTCCATATTTCTGGTATTTGCATTGAGTCATTTCTGTTGCATGTGTTGTGGTGTAGACAAGCTCTGTAGGCTAAAAGATCCAGTGGACCCAATGAAACAAAATAATATAATTTACAAAATGCCCTGCATCAACTGTGAGGTTAACTACATAGGTCAAACTAGTGCATCGGGTGTAGTCAGATTGTCAGAACATAAGAATTTAGCTAAGGTGAGAATGGTTGACCCCGAGAAGATGAGTAATTAGGAAAAAAGCTCAGCAATTGCACTTCACACATTAACACACAACCACACAATAGCGTGGGAGAGGGTGGAGTGAGATTGATTACTGAATCCTGGTTCATCGAGTCTACACCCAAAACATGCAATAGAAACGACCAAATGCAAATACCAGAGATATGGAAGATATTATTGCCACCAGTCAGTCAGTCAGTCCAATCACAGGAGGATAATAAATAATCTCAAAATTCTATTTCAATTCACATACACATACGTCACAACATTCTAACAAGTAACTTATTATGAATATTAAAACACTCGTCTTATTTCCCATCTGATTGTAATTCACTCATAACACTCGTATTGTTATTATTTCTGAATGTCGATTATCCTATATCGGTTGATTTTAATTCAAATGTCTAATCATGAATTCCACTCATGTATATAAATGAAGGAAAAAGTTGTGTGAGTGCCTTGATATGATGATTATGAGTAGCAATGATAATTTGTGCTCGACAAATGTTCATCAGTTAATACTACTGTATAACAACACTATGTGATTTATCAAAATAAAATCCTATCCATAATGGAGTTATGCTCTACCATCACAGTAGTGCTCAAGTTTTATACTTATATCTCCGTTACACAACTAACGCAGGTTCCCTCAACAACAAAAAACGTCACCCCTTTAACAACATTTACAACAACACCAACAAAAAAACAATAACAACTGCAGAATTAAACATTTTTATTGTGTATTTTTAAAAAATGGAAAGGAAGGCAACGCCAATTGATAATAATAATAATAAGAAGAATAGTAATAAGAATACCAAGAATGTCTATGAACATAGGCAAGCGTCTTTTGAAAAAAAAACAATCGTCATACACATTTGTGTGTATGTGTTGCTTCATGATTAATTATGTGTTTCATGCATACTCTCTATATTTATATATGCAAAAAGGACAGGTTTGTATGGAGGCAGACATGCACACGCGTACAAGAGTGTGGTAAACTAACACTGCTGTTAATCAAATTATGTCAAGCAACGTATCCCTAGGCATACATAAACACAAACAATTACACAAGCACGCACGCACGCACACACGCAACCATCCACCCACCCATGCACGCACACACATATAAACTCACTCCCTTTATATGTTCTGAATGTGAAACTTGAGCATTCCGGATCGAATTCACATGATTAAATGATGAACAGTGTGTGTGTTGTGTATATGTGCGTGTATTTTTCTAATAAAAAACACGTCTAATCCAAAGGTTGTGTTGACGTAAAAACAAAAAAGAAAACGGAAGCTTTTATCGATTTAAAAATATCAGAATAAACAACCAAATACAAATATAAATAAGGCTGTTTGATATATAACTGAGCAGAAGAAGAGTGATGTGACACGCGTGACCATTTTTCTTCTCTCATTCATTCAGCGGGGGTGGGGGAACAAGGCGAGACACGCGATGACAGAGGTATGACTGACTGCACAATATAATAAAGAGCTTAGGCAATAGTTTAAAGCACAAGAGTAATAATAATAATAATATGTGAACAGTGGTGCATACAGTGGGAACACAGTAGTGTATATATTAGTAGCAGTTATGGTAATGACAACGCAGAAAGTTACAATTCATAGGAGGGGGAAAATGTCAAGAGTATGTATGGCTAACTCTACACAACCCCGTGCACTCTTATATGTTAGTATATATACACGCAAACACAAAAGGAGGAGGAGAGCATATGTGGACCTCCACTCTCTCTCTCCCTCTCTCACACACACACAGACGATATTCACATGAGAATGAAAAATAAGAGAAGAAATGCGAAATCTGATGGCAATAAGACACACAAACGCACGCGCACACACACACACGGAAATACAAAAACGCAAGCGAGAATTATTTGTGACTTTATTTGATAACATTGATGCACCATTCCCAAGTGACATAGTCTGTTTTATCGTCATCCGTGAATTGACTTTTAATATGATAGGTACCACGAGACAGAGCACCTTTTGGTGCTTCTTCTGGCTCAGATTTCCATTCATACGGTGTAGCTTGTGGACCATAACTGCCAAGCATAACAGATACTTTATCGACTATGGAGAGGAAAGACAAATACACAAGAGTTAGTGAGTTAGTTAATTAGTTAATGAAGTCGTTTGGGGTTGTCTTGACTAAAAATTCTAATACGATGAATGGCCGAAGAAACCTTTCACTCCAGTGTCTCCCCTAATGTCCAAAAATAAGTAAATCCCTCCTCCTAAGGATCAAATCTTTGAAATAGAGGATGTAAAAACCTTCTAAATTTTGATGTGAAGCTTAAAAAGTACGATTAGTGTAAGAGTAGATTTCGGGCACCGTGAGAGAAGAATAGAATTCCATATCAGTTAAGATTATTTGATATGATACACACAGTGAGTGATATTCACTCCAGTATTTATAACTGGACGATGTTACGAGTACAATTTACTGCCCATAATCATATGTCAGTATATTCACACTTGACAACTTACTCCCTTCCTGGCATATTTCAACTCCCTCCTGCCTTTTAAATGAAATTTCCCGCATATATCCGATCTAGGCATTAGGGTGTTATATCGATTGGACATGTTTGATACTGTGAACCTACAACCTACATCACTTGGGGTAGTTGTCAACGATTGCTCTATACATTTCTGACCACGACTGACTCTGACAATCTCATTCATGTTGCCTGTAGTTGAAACGATACTGTTTGTGATCAGTGCTTGTTATCATTCATATTATATGTGCGTCGGTGGCACAGTGGTTAGGACTCTCGCCGACCATGCACATGGTCCGAGGTTCGATCCCCTGCCGACGCACACCTGATATCTATGGTCGGCCTGCAAAATTTGGGCTACCGATATCCATGCTGAAAATTCCATACTTGTACCAAAAATACAGTGTGGAATCAAGCTGTAATCAAAAAAAAAAGAGATAGAACTACATAGGTGTACTTCAAAGTAGACGGAAACATCATTTATACCCCCAAAAGGTAAGTGAAAATGTCTATAGGCTATATGAAATGGAGTGTTTTTTGTGTATGCTACAAAGCAGCCAATGACCACAGAAAAGTGAGACCATCCTACCATTTTGTTTTCATAAGCCAATGTTGGGTGGAAACTTGAACGTGTTGGAAGTGCAGCACTGTGAGACAACCAACACATGCGGCGGACAGTACAATTATTGGCAAAGTAAGACTCAGTATGGTCCAACCAGTGAGAGGGCTCTCGAATGGTTGCGCCCTACAGGATGATATTGCAGGCCGTTATGATCTCCCTGGAGGCTAGGATGAGCATAGATATGATGGAGAAGATTTGTAGCTCAGGTGGATGATTTTGATGCTGTTATGTTCTCTGAGCTGGATAGATAATTTGCGAAGCTTCCATTGTCCTACTAGGGGACATCTTCAGCGCACGAGTGGAGAAATTTAAAAGCTCACTTCAAATTGAAGTATGCGATGAAAGCTTAGCAAATTGACTATCCAGCCCATAGAACACAACCACATCAAATTAGGATGAGTATGTTCGACCCTACTGAAAAGCAATAGGTGAGCCATTACATGAGTGGCCCCTACAAACGGCCCATTACCTTAGAGGATGAGTCTTCCTTTCAAAATGGCTTTATGTGACCACGCGCCTTCATAGCTTCTCACGGATTAGTCATATTTGTTGCCTTCATGAAGCAGGGGTTTTCCACGCAAAATTGAACATCTGGAACTTACACACGAAGTGTGGGTATGCAAATCTACTTATAGGAGCTGAAAAACCCAGATTCCAAACCTATGGAGTAAAAGAACTCTAAAATCTGAAAGTGAATGGTGTATGAACCTGCTTTGATCATCGGAAACCGTAGGAACGCAGATCGTCATGCTCCTCTAATACTTTGTGGACTAGACTCCAAGCCAGAGACTCGGTTAGTGTCCCTGAAAGAGACAACCGCCTACTTCAGTTTTGGCGTACGGATAGTAATCTAGTCCTCGCACAAACTATGAGCCTTTGTGTAGGGCATCTCTTCTTATTCATAACGTACTAAGTTCGTTTTTTAATTACGCATTAAATAACGAAAAGGACAGAAGCTGAATTTATTCAAAAGGATTTAAATAAAGGTGGATATATATATATATATATATATAAACGGTTTAATAACAAACCGGTGACTAACTAACTGGTTTCAACGTAGAACTTTTCGCATATGTGCAGCAGTTCAAGTCGCCGCACTCCCTCTATGTAGCACACAAAGCAAGAGAAGAGATAAGAGAGAGATTCAAAGGAGATATTTTCAGCTATATCACCGATTGTCTCCAGCCTTCATTGGTTTCTGCTACCTCGTGGACTCCAACCAGGAAGCCAGTTTTCGCCTCCCGAAGTGGCTGGCTTGAACTAACTGTTGTGGATTCCATTGACTGATGTAGCCATGTTTTGGTTTGACCATTACCACTAGCTCTTTTCCAGCCTGATCCATCCTAGGTCAGCAGGTTAACATCTCCTGTCGTCGAGGAAGACGATAGCTAGGAATGCATGCGCAACACATGTCCTATCCATCTCAGTCGATGTCACTTCACACCCTCGTCTATTGATTTCCCCTCCTCACCTAACACTCACTGGATGCCTAACCTATATATTGCTCACCTTATTATACCATCACCTAACACGGGAGATACAACGCAGACACCTATGATCAAAGACGACTAGCTGGTCTTTTCATGTCTTCCACTTTCAATGGCCATGTCTCACAGCCAGCTATAAAGGAGGACAGAGAGGAGTGCTAAGCAGTACACACATCCTTTGGTCGATAGTTGGAATCATGTCTACACCAGAAATGGTGGTGTAGGTTGGCATACGCCAGACGATCCCCCTCTGTATCCGTGTTGAGATTTCGTCAACGATTAACCCACCGGCATTGGCTGATGCAACTCCCCATTTACGTGAAGTGGTCTAATTTCATTCAGGCAGAAATATTTTTCCATAATATTGGTCCACTAGATACCTACAACATTATGTATGATGATCAGATCATCAAAAGCTAATCCTTAAATTTACCCACATAATAATATCAATTCATATATATATATATATATATATATATATATATATATATATATATATATATATATATGAATAGCTAGTTAGTTAGTCAGGTGATATATTCCACTCAGTTCGATAATTCCATGGTTCTATGTGTACGTTTAGAATACTACTTAGCATCACACAAGAACTACGCTAAGACCAACACACTGAGTAAGTTTTAGATATTTTAATGAAAAGCAGCTGAATGTATTTAAGCATTAATACTTGATCCCCCCCCCACCACTTTTTTTGTGTGACCGCACAGATGAACGTCATGATTATCTTGACGGCATTTGTAGCCTTTTAAAACATTTTCAGTGAGTGTTTGTCATGTGTTTCTGTAATACCCACAATAGTTAAAAACCTTCTCTAAACAATCAGAAAGGTGGAAAAAGAACTCGGTATTACAGTGTGGTGTTTTAAGTTGCTATCACACTATCAAGTTAGCTGATCTCTTCTGTCAGGTACCTCGTAATTATTATTCTCACTTAGTACAATATGGGCACTCAAAGAAGAAACACGCTACACAGAATTGCACAGTTTGTGAGAAAGATGAAGGCACTGTCCGGATACTATCAGACTGAAGCAAGGGGACCCCAAGGAAGAGACAGATAACAGCACTGCTTTCAGTCTGGCAGTCTCAACTGCCCATACGATTTTATCAGTACACAAACGAATCCATAAGTTAACCACTAACCTTCACTACACTTCGCCTTTCCTCAAAAGTTACTAGCCTTTTTTTCCATTGCTAAGTCTGTTGTTCACAGAGCCTCTTCAAATTTATTTCATTGTGATAAAAGCTTGGAACAGTCAAACATCATTTCTTGTCTCTTAAATCCTCTTCTGGTGCGTCGGTGGCACAGGGGTAGGATGCTCGCTGATTGCGCATGTGGTCAGGGGTTCAATCTCCGCCCAACGCACTCCTTTACCTCGCTAGGCCAGTAATAAGACTGGTAAAGAGGGAAGTTTTGGCATGGGGTTAGCAAATGTATCTCATAAGAATAAACACCACTGCTACCGAAACTTCAAACCTCCAGCTTGAAGCTCTATGTTCCACTGGGAGCGCAATGGAATAAAAGAATCCCCTTCCTGTTAACTCAGCCAAACTAGTAAGCAGATAAGATGTTAGGGCTAATCAGCTTCGAAAATCATTAGCTTGAATAGAAATTAATACATGAACAGAGAAGATTGTTGTTTGGTAACACAAAGGTAACATAAAAAGGTATTCTTCATGGGAATTCGAAAAAAACATCTCTTACCTCGAAGAGGACCTCTATTTGTCCACTGTTTGAAACGAAGCCCACAAACAATATCACGCTGTACGTAATATATCACTTGGATGCGATAACTAGAGCCTTCAACAATTTGAACTGGCCTGGATTTAAGAGAGGAGAGGTCACCTGAAATGCAGGTACGGTAAAATGAAAAGGCAAATAAAAAAAATTGAATTGTATATAAGTTGTAAAAGAGCAACGATGGGAAACACCAATGATATCCTGATTTTCTACCTTAAAGGCAGGATCGTAAAGATGTGAACTCTTGAGAATGCAGGTGATAGTGAAAGGCGTAACACCTCTACCTCATGTACGACTTAGGTAGTGAGTGAAACACTGTATTATGAGTATCGAGCTAGTGTCTACTTCAGCCATCTTTGTTAAAAGATCCGACTAGGAGTGGAGCCGAAGCCGGTGATTGATGGTCTTCGTTATTTTAGGAAATGTCAGCAAGCTTAGTAGTTACACGCCTCATGAGGAATAAAGATCTAATAACTACACAATCTATGATATCCTGCTGGAAGTTGACCAATGGTAGATATACACTGACGTACATCCAAATCGTAATGCTGAACTATGACCACATCTGACTTGCGGAGGTTCTATGACTAATAACATCGCATTCTGTTTTGTTATTTCTCCTTGCACAGACTTCCACTTGAGGTGAGCTACCTGGTTGCTCCAGTTTTTGTAACTGTTGTTTACATTGCGAAGTTCATCTACCCAGCAAAGGATAAATGCACTGCACAGCAGTTCGTTCCAACACTTTACGGCCGTAAGCCAACCGCTTACAGTGGCAGACTTGAGGAGACTAGCTGCTTCTGACCATAAATATCTGTGTTCTGTCCCGCTTTAAATAATATAATATGGTGGGTAATATTGAGGGGAAGTGTAGTATTAGGTAGAGAGGGAAAATCTATCGATGTTGGTGTGAGGCAGCATCCATGGAAATGGCTGAGACATATGATACGCAGGATCAGCAATCGCCTTCCTAGTCTGGCAGTTTTCTATTATAGGATTAGGTGCCAAGAGTAAGATGTGATCAAATCAAAATACACAGTCGATTCATATATAGGCTCTGATTGTTGGTTTGAGTCCCACAGGAAGACTAAGACTACCTGACTCAAGTTATTAATACGCTAAGAATCAATAGACTTGAAACTGTTGGTGACATAATTCCAAATAACTCAATGTGACAGATGCATTTACTTATTATGAGCCCCGAGACGTGTCAAATTTTCATTATTCTACATGTACCTATTTTCTCTTGCATTTTTATCTGTTCATTATAATTCATTTCAATTTATTTTTCGCTAACTTCGCGCGCTATATGGGGTTTAGTGACTTCAACTGCTGCACTTTTGTGGTAAATTTTACGTTGTGTAAACTTTTGTGGAGTATAGCAACACTAACTATACTTTGCGAAGAGTTTCACCTTATGTACGATTAGTGGAGTACATCAAAGTTATACCATGTACAGGAAAAATCAGTGAAGGGACTTCAGACTGGAGCAGTGTATTAATTGGGAGCTAAATATTAATCTTTTTTGTATGCGTCGGTGGCACAGCGTTTAGGACGCTTACCGACTATGCACCTAGTCCGGGGTTCGACCCCCGGCTGACTCACTCCCAAACCCTAGCTATGCCAGTAATAAAAGCTGGTAAAGAGGAAAGGTTGGGCGTGAGGCTAGCAACTCCATCCTGTAAAAATAAACACTGCTACAGAAACTTCAGGCCTCTAGCTTGAAGCCCTATGTTCCACTGGGAACGTGAAGGAAAAAGAAATTAATCTTTACTTGGTGAGATTCATTCTGACATAACAACTTCAATTAATCTCAGCTCAGAATAGGAAAAACACCGAAAATTTACGACTTCAAATATTACCATCGTATGTTACAGAATTTATGTTTAGTACAATTTTACGATTAAGTCTTCCATGTATTACTCGTTCAAAGATAATCAAATTCAGAAGAAAAACAAAACCGGAAGTTTAATCGACAAAGTGATTCAAGAATACCATAGTACAAAATGGCGTTAATTAGTGTTGGTACGTCACAACAGATTAAGTGAAAACAATTCTTCTGAAGTACAAAATTCACGGTAGTTTAGTTATAGATGAAGCTAATTGTCAAACAAGTGTGAAAGTCTTTAGAACATATCCATGAAGTCAATACATTTGAACTTTATCTTAAAGGGTACGCTATGCAAAATGGAAGTCCCAGCAGAGACTTGAAAGAATAATGTATATCACAGAAGCACAGTGAAAATTTATTCGATACACGCTTGTGAGTTGGTCGCAGAACCTGAAAATATCAGTGAATTATCTTGAAAGTGGAGATCCAAGACAATACTTTTCGAGTTAAACGACCCTGAACTTTCTCAATAGGCCCGTAAGAAGTCTAAATGCAGTAATAGATTAGCTTAATATGTAGGGAATCTGATCACATACATCTAGGATACCGCATAGTAGACACCATACTGTGGAAAACAGGAAAAGGCTATAATAAACTACCAAGCTCTTAGCAGGGCCCGAATAGAAGTAAGCCTGCCTTTAGAACGAATTTTTCGCTTCGTTTGGGATATCGCCGAAGTGAACCCTCAGTTTTGTACACGTGACAGGCTAGATGGAAGGTGAGCTTAGTGGTGTCAGTGTGGCTTCTAAAGTGAGGGATCTTGTGACTAACGGTCACCTTAAGTTCGGCGTACTTTCTAATGAAACTGGGTTGCTTCCCGACAATTTGTACTTCAACAAGCCATCCCATGTAGCAGTTCACCAACAGGACATAATCCCAACAAGACTCATTTGCCCTTGTATTACTACTGACAATACGCTACGGATTCGCGGGGCTGAACTAACCCGTAAAATGCATCAAGATTTTAAGTGGATATCTCTAGTTTCACTGCCTAGAGGAATCTTAATAATGATGCAACAAATCAACCTTAATCAAGTTTTCCTCAGAAATAAAGATTTGGGTGTGGAAATCAGGTTAAGTGAGATTTACTACTTCATTTGTAGAGACACATTCTACAGTGTCAATGGAATAACAAATCGATTTCAAGAACCCTATCCAAAACAAATGTATCAACATAGGAAAATGAAAGAATGATTTAAAAGGAAACCAAGAGCCTCCCCATAACAAATGAAACCTTTGAAGAAAATATATATAGTCAGACAGATATAACTTGCCTCGTAAGTTGAATTCAATATCAGGCTGTCCTTCAACAAGTATGCAAAACTTTTCAACCACAACGTTTGAGGGATTATCTGGAACTGTTTGGCAATAAGCAGATAAAGAAAAACATACATGGAGCATTGATGGTTGAGACAGCAGCACCTAGAAGAGCTTGTTTATACCTCTGCAAGCTTTCATCTTCCTTATCCAAGCTCTTCAACTCATCCAAAGTACGTTTTTCTGGGGGTTTGTATTTATTTTTAACATCATCATCCCAGTCACCCTCATCAATCGAATGCTCTGCCATTTCAGATGAGAACAGCACGCAGCGACAAATTTCAAATAAGCCACCTGGGAGTCCAATATCCAATGTACGACATTTCCATGATATAAGATATTGTAGGCCAATTGATTATTCCGAAGTTTTTTTTGTTGTGGGTGAATACTGAGGGCCTTCGAGGGTATTCTCGTGGTCAGTTTCGATAACTTTGACAGAGTTGTGAGAATAAGCAAATGTTATCATTTTATTTATTGATCTTTTACTCTAATTTACATAAAAGTAAAGTGTGTGGGGCACATTATAAACTTCAAAACCTGTTACTTCGTTGGGATGAAGTAAACTTCATCCTTTTAGTAAGGGAAGATCTCCGGGAAAACCCATTATTTACCTGCAGTATGCGAATGAAAACCCACTGCCACCTTTGGGTGAAGATATGTTTTTCTGAAAGTGTGTTTCTGCAAACACGCTTGGCGAAATCTTCTTGTTGATATGCTGATGGCTATCCCGGATATGTGTCTATCTGGTTATCATGACCAACTCGTAAATGTCTGCCAGAGACTACTGGTGAACTATGTATTAGGGGGAATACCTGCAGGTGTTAGGACATGCCTCTGGTGAGAAGGAAGACATTGGCTGATCCGACTATTCAACCAACTGTCAACGAAAACCTGGAGCTTTATTACCCCATAAATGGTTCACTGTATATAACCAGAAATATTATGCCCACAACTACATTTGACCTCCTGAAGTTGACGACAGGATCATGAAATCCATTATCAGGCAAGAATGGATCTGACCACGTCCCATATCTTGGCGATATGCAACCGTTAGATGATTCATGGGCATCCCACCCTATATAGTACCAAAGAAGGATAGCAGTTACTGGCGTCTCATAGGTGATTAAAAACGACTGAGTGTCTAGACTATCCCAGATTGATATTTACTTTCAAATAACTACGAATTGAAGACAAGGCTTTCTTTGCAAAAGTTCACTAGGTTAGACTGTACAGTGCAAAACCGATGGCTCTGGAAGACAACCCAGGAACGACAACGCCTCTCATTTAGCTAACAAAATTCAGCACAAGGATTCCAATGCATTATTGCCGAACCGTTTGCGGTCTTCACTTTATATGTGTCAAGGAAGCTGGTTAGTTACGTTGCCTGTACGACTTCAAGCTCACTTTCAGTTTCCTTCAACTAATGTGTGACCATCTGTTCGACCAGACTTCAGGTTCGGCTTCACTTTCTGCCAAATCTTTAGCCTGACCATGTTGCTCATAACACCGGCTTAAACTGGCGAGGAAAGACTATAATAATCAGTGCCATTCAAGGCTGTATTTATCAGCAAGAGTATAAAAAGAATTTATGGACGCAGTCATACATCAGACCAGCAACCGAGCTCTCAAATTCCACTTCTTACGATGTGATTCAGTCGGCACAAGTAAAAAAATTAGTCATTGAAGAGCGCAAGTCTGGGGTTCAGCTAAGTTGGATTTCTCTGGTGCATGCTTTAATGACCGCCTCGTAGGAAGGACACTCACCAAACCTTTGACGTAGTATGCTCATAGCCTCGTAGTAGCCCTCTTTTGGCTTCATAAACTTACAGCACTGTATAGCTCTTGCAGCATCTCCAGTGCAATACCTCATCAAATACAACAATTTCAATTCATCACTTAATAGAAAACTTCTCAGCATGATCTCAAACTCCTTTACAAATTGTAAATAATCAGCCGGGTTTCCATCGAAACACCGTGGTTCAAATTTGGAGAGTTTGATGTTCCTATTATCCCTGGACGGCGAAACAGTAACATCAACCATGTCATGCTTAACATCAGACACATCGTTACAATTAACAGACAAGTCACCATGACTTACTTTCCTGTTTGCATCCAAGACGCTCTGTCCCTTCTTTGACCCAGGCATTGTTGAACTTGGCCCAATTCCAAAAATGTTCCAGATATTGCTTGTTCAAAGAGGACTTGACCGGCACCAGTAAAGATGAACGGTGACTATCCAAACTTTCACCAACTGTCTGAATCGGCCAGAATCTGTTTCTACCGTCAGAAACTGTCAGTCACGTCTCGTAAACCGTTAATGCCAAGCTCTTGCTACGCTCGGGGTCACGCTGTTCGTTGAAGTTTCTCAGAAACGCTTAGTAATAACGGACGAAAAAACCAAAACACCAATTGGTGACTTGAGGATTCTTTATTGTTATACCAACATATAAACAGTGTTACAACTAAGTTTTGTGAACAAATATTACAATAATAAATCACAATATTACTTCTGACGGTTTTTTACTCTTCTTTCTGAACAGCGACCGATGAGACGATGACTGGTGTATTGATGCCTCCACGAAAATTGGGGAAGTTGGTTTTGAGCAAACAACCAAGAATTGATCGTTCAATCTTCAACTACATTGACAGCAGGCTTTGTTAGCGCTGCGATTCTAAAAAATTCTAATAGCACAGCAATAAGGAAGTATGAAAATGACTTAGAAATAAATTGTCTGTACAAATCCTTGCGGCAAATGTACTCGCCTGCCTGATCTTGGGATTCTTTCTGTTTTGTCATCAGATATTGAATCTTGAGAGCGTGGATCATTTTGTGGCGTAACTTTGGATGATGTCGATGACTTGGGTAAACATTGAGTCACCTCTATTTCCATGAAAGCTGGTTTTACGCGATCGATGCTTACATTCTCGTGCTTCCCTCCGCGCCTAAGAGTCAGGAAGGACAGGAGGTCATTCCAGGCCAACCTTGCTAAAAAACTCCTAGCAAACCCGAGAAACTTGTGCGGATTCATGTCGGAAAGAAAACCGACAAACCAGGGGGCATGAGCCTTAGTAGGCCCAAACGGTCAATATCTCACCAGTCTGGAGATGGCTGAAGCATTCAGTTCAGCCTTCGCCAAACAGCTAAACAGCAATGTGAATATTACAGTTCAGACCAAAATGGTGGCACCACTATTTCAAATGAGGATGACTTGGCGACTACTCCCCAAATAAACCCCGCAATAGTACTAAGGAAGCTACAACGACTCCCAGTGGTTTCAAAAGTACTGGAAAGTATTATTGACGGCCACATAGGGGAATATTTCGATAGGACTAATATACTACATGAAGCCCAACATGGTTTCAGAAAAGGCAGATCCTGCGTTACTAACCTACTGTCAGCTTGGGACGACTGGACATCATAATGAGATATGAATGTACCAGTCCATGTGGTGTTCCTAGGCTTTGAGAAGGCATTTGACACTGTTCACTATGACCTTCTCCTACATAAAATAAGCCAGGCAGGTATAGGGGAGCCACTTCTGTCATAGTTAAAGGATTACCTAGCTGATAGGCAATTTTGCACTATGGTTAACCGAGTCCGATCACCTTGGCACAGCTCGTCATCAGGAGTGTCGCAGGGTTCTATCCCAGGACCACTGATGTTTTTGATTTTTATCAATGATCTATCACGCCGTCTAAGCCGCCCGACTCTCTTATACTCTGACGACGTGAATATATGGAGGGCAATAAAGTGCAGGAAGATCCAAACCTTCTGGAAGACTGGCCGGTGGCCAGTGGCATGACTTTCAACTTGAAAAAGTACAAAGTAGTGAAGTTGCGCACCTGTAGACTGCAGAATGCAAGTTACACCCTGTGCAATGAAAGCTTGTCCTGCACAACGTCGGAACGTGACTTAGGTCTAGTTCTAACGGAAAAAATGGACACAAGCGCAAATTACACGGGGGATGTAGCGAGGGCATATGCGGTCATACACTTCACGCATAGATAGTTGGGTGCACTCACTCCTGAGCTCTTTCTAAGGTTGTACAAAACATACGTCAGGCCACACATTGAAGTGCATAATATTGTCACGCCCCCAATGCCGAGAAGAGACGCCAACCTCTTGGAAAGAATCCAACAATGGGCAACAAAAGGAGTGTTTGGTCTCCGAAACAAACCATATGATGAAAAGCTGAAGAAATTAGGCCTGTTCACACTTAGCTACCGCCGGCTTAGAGGGGATTTGATTACTGCCTACAAAATAACAAATGACCAGAATCACCCCAACAAAGGTGTTCTGCCATTGAGTAGGTATAGGCTCCCACGTGGAAATCCCAGAAGGATAGCTCACCAGAGGGCAAGGACTCGGGTGCGCTCCCACTTCTTTTCACTGCGGGTTTGCCGTCCCTGGAATTCCTTACCGGCAGATGTAGCTATGGCACCGTCTTTGGACGCCTTTAAGCAAAGGTTGGACGACCATGCAGCGGCACAAGGACTGCATCCAAATGGCCTATCCCCCTAAAACCGCATACACCATTCAGTAGCAGACAATTAAACTTGTCGTTCAACTTATTTACATTCTCTCCCGTTTTACTCTCCTGACAACTTAATAATATTATTATTACCGATATATATTATTATTGTATCCTTTAATTCCTAGAGGAACATAGGGCTTCAGCTGCGCGTCTCCATTTCCTTCGGTTTTCCGCCAACTTTTTCACCCCGCTCCAAGTCTGCCCACATGCTCTCATCTCCTCTTCACATCACCTCCTCCAAGTCACCCTTCCACTGACGACCAACTCGCCACCCGCTTCCCTTTCGGGTTCCACTCGAGCAATGGCTTGTCTAGTGATGTCACTTGATAGTTTCCTCAGGGTATGGCCGGCCAATCCATCTCCATTTCTTCCTGCCTATTTGTTTCACAATCGGTTCCTGCTGTGTTGGTTCGCTCATTGCCAGAGATCCCTTTTGCTGATCTTTTCTGGCCAGCCATCTGATCTTGAGTATTGAGCGAAGACAACTGTTAATGAAGGTCTGAAGTTTGTTTGAGATGCTTTTTATGACGCGTAGTGCAAGTCTCTGATCCGTTTAGTAAGTAGCACAGACTTCACATTTGAGTTGAAAATCCGGATCTTATTTTTCATGCTGTGTGCTGTTGATCTACACACAGACTTGAGAGTAATGAAAGTTTGTCACACTTTTCCGATTCTGGCTTTGATGTCCTCGTCAGTTCCGCCTGTAGTTGAAACG